ACAGAAGGCTCGGGATGTAGCTCAGTGTGGAGGCCCTAGGTTCAACCCCTAGTACTGTGATGGTATACTTGGCTTGAACTTGAAACAGTAGGTAGGGGAGCTGGGGATGTAGCTCAGTGGCACTGAGCCTACTTGTCAAGTGCAAGGTCCTGAGTTTGATCCCTGGTACTGAAAAAAAAAAATCATTGAAAAAGAATATAGTATAATAAGGGGCTGGAGATTTAGCTTAGTGGTGCCACTCCTACCTCACAATCACTTGATCCTGAGTTCAATCCCAGGTATAGGAGAAAAAAAAAAAAAAGTAGGGATACCTGAGGGGACAAGGCAGAGAAGATCTTAAAGTGAACAAGAGGGGCTGGGGATTTAGCTCAGTGGTTCTACCGCCTGCTGTGCAAGTGCAAGATCCCGAGTTCCATCCCCAATACCAAAAATAAATAAAATTGATAAATTAAGTGAACAAGAGTACAGGATTAGTCCTGCTCAAGTATCTAATGATAATTGGGCAGTTAAGGACTACTTACTATTTTAACTTTTGCTGGAAGGGCCTTAGTCTGGCAGCTCCAACCTTTCTAATGTCCCTGTATCCCCCATCATCTGAAAATCAAAACCATGTTTGTGAAGTAGAATAATTGTGTCCTGAGGTGGCTCTGATGTGGGAAATTTTGTGGTTTGGGGCTGTTAAAAACTGAAGGTCACAGTGACCTCTGTTTACCATGTCTTCTGCCAAACTGTCTCTCCTTCCCTTGTTACTTTGCCGGTGGCCTCCTACAGATTGTGCAGTTACTTTGTATTGTGATGGCTTCTCTGTACCTCTCTCTGCCCAGACTGTGACACCAAAGCAGGAACCCTGCCCGATGGTCCCATGTATTCCTGAACACTTAACCCATGCCTGAAGCACATAGTAAGTAGCTGCTCAGTAATCAGTCGAGTCATGAGTGGATGTGATGTGAGGTGACAGTCACCCACTGTCATTGAGGGCGCATGCCTATTCTCTGTCCTTCTGTCTTTTGTGGTACTAGGAATGGCGAGGCAAGCTCTCTCTCGCTGTCACAACCCCAGCCCTGATCTCTCTAGATTGCAATCGGGGTTGACTGAAAAGTCAAGACCTTCGATGATTGTTTTGAAGTGCCCGTGATCTGAGGTGTGACTCATCACCTACAGAGGTCTTGGCCAGTGAAGGGAGCACTGACCATCGACCTGAGATGCGTCTCCATGATGAAGAGATTGTTGATCATCGTAGCTGACAGCAGAGGTTACTGGTGTGAATTATGCCTGCGAACTGACATCGGTGAGCCTAGACTTACTCTGGGAATAATGTTAATATGTACAGTAACCTTAGGCTTTGTTTCATAAATTATCTATCTTCTCGTGGTCTCCAAATGACACTGTCCCACTCGGTCCCACCAAACGGGCCAGGAAGGAGGACTAGATGGGGTCATTCCCTAGAAAACGACCTGAAATTCATTGCATCACTTGGGTTGTGTTGCCGCAGCCCTGGTCACAGCCTCCCCCAAAGACTGCCCTTCCGCCTGGTCCCCTGCCCACCCCCACCAGCCCCCAGCGCGCCTGCCTGGAGGCGGGGCAGTGCTTGGCCCTTTGTTGTGGGCCCCAGTTTCCCAGGACACCGCGCGGCTCTGGGGTGGGGCTATGCAGATGAGCACTTGGGGGCGGGGCGGTTGCGGCGGCGGCAGCCGGGGAGGGTCAGTTGGAGG